TGACCGCAAAACAGGAGCTCGCGATTCGTTCGACATAAAAGGAAATAAATTGTAATCTTTCTTTTTTTTATTTTGATTTTCATTGTAAGCCGGATCTTATAAAAAGACCGGATCTTTGTAACGCATAAAGTTGTTAACTAAGATGGCAATGATATCAATGAAGAAAGCAACGATTTTTCCCGCGAACAACCGCAGAGCCGGCATCCGATTCTTCATCTTCTAAAGGTAATCTTGTCTGAATCCTACCATAAGTTGCTCGTATGATGGCTCCAGACTGCAGGCGGGTTATACGCCGGGGTGCTTCCGGAATCGACTTGGGATTATCCCGTGTCGATTTCCCTTTGCTGGTCATATTAGTGGTGACCCTCGGAAATTCTCTATCTTCAACTACCATTCTTCTTTGTCGGAAACGCCTAGACCGTGGTTTTAGCATTTTGGTACTGAGCCTTTCGAAAACCAAAATTCTTTCGGGGACTGTCTTGATGCAGTTGCACTTAGATAATACTGCCCGAATGAGTTTGGAACAAGGGCATTGAGTTTCTAGTTCTCGAGGACTCCTTTTCCTGGTTTTACTCGTACCCCCAACACGATAGTACAACTCATCGGTTTGAAGGTCGGAGTAACCTATCCTGTGTTGGCACAACTTCTCAGGTATAACATCATCATTATCAGACGACAATGTTTCCTTCTGAGGGCGAACTACCTTCTTTAGGCTTTCAAGAGTCACGTGCCTCGAAACACGTCTTTGTGGTCGTGAGTTCTCAACGGGCTCTTGGACTTCAATGCGCAAATTGGTGCGCCTAGCTGCCATCATCTCTTTGTCATGTTGATGGTGGCGGCGACTCCCAGCATGTTGAGTCGTTCGAGGCTTCTTTATCGGGCCCAAACGCTCTTGAACTGGAGCTTTGCATCCCTCATCGGGAAGTGGACCGAGACGCTCCAAAACTGACTTCTTTCTTCAGGATGATTCTGCGGGATCTCCCGGAGTAGCTACTGGAATTACTTGCGCTGAAGGCTGCAATGATTGTTCCTTAGCCTGAATCACCGCTTCAGACTTCGGCCTCCATACTTGGCGGATTGGTGGCGACTTCTTGGCCACCTCCTTCTGCAGTCTTTTGCGGGCTTCTTGGACTTGAGCCCGTGCCTGCGCTAAAAGTGCGCGGTGCTTGTGAATGCGCTCTTCACGTGTCGAACGATTCCGTTTGACACGGATCCATTCATTCGTTGGTGGCTTGGAGGAGCTGCCATTCATTGTTTGTTGAGGCTGTTTGCCTCTCCTGTTCTTCAGATCCGCGTTATAGTGGATTCCGTCAGTGGACTTGCGAATTGCCGCGCCAGGCATTGACGTCGCCTCTGGCGGGCTCTCTTTGAGAGAGTCACTACTCCCTCAGCAGCGGAGGAATTAACGAGAACAGCTTTGACCTGGTTGGAGGTCGGTGGAACTTCACCCGATGCAACTTTGGCATCAGTTGGGGTGAGATCTTCGTTAGCATTCTGCACTTCTTCGTACCAACGAACTTTTCTCCTGGGGGAGAACTTCTTGGACTTGAGGGGGGAGGTGGATCCGGACGAGGATGACAGATACTCCTCGAACTTTTGTTGGTCGAATTCATACTCGACTTCCTCCTCGACCGGGATTGAGATCAGCGGTTCTTGGACTTGAGGGGGGAGGTGGATCCGGACGAGGATGACAGATACTCCTCGAACTTTTGTTGGTCGAATTCATACTCGACCTCCTCCTCGACCGGGATCGCTTAAACAATAGTTTATCGGTTACAAAAGATCCACTCTTTTTATAAGATCCGGTTACAACAAAATCAAAGAAAAAAAAGAAAAATTACAACTTTCCTTTTCTCGAACAAATCGCAAGATCCTGTTTTGCGGTCTCTTGCTTGTGTGGGTTCTTTGCCTGCGCCGGGGTTAATCCGTAGACCACCGTACGATCTTGATCCGGTCGGATCTACACGGTATGACGGGTGTTATTTCACGAAGGAAATAACAGCTGAGGGGATTATTTCACCAAGGAAATAATAGCCTTTAGTAATCGAAATCGACCAAGCGAAATCGATTCCGGAGGATGACCGTGTAGATCTCAGATCTGATCTCTCTCGAACTCCTGCCTTATTTGGCGTGGATGATCGCCAAGAACCAGATCTGAAAAGTCCAAGTCTTCAAAGCTTCAAGATTCCGAAGTTGAGCTCTCAATCCAGCAGAGTTTCGCCTCAAAAAAGTCCAACCTCCAAAACAATGAGCCCTCATGTCTATTTATAGGCATTTGAAACCGGATCTGGGCTCAGATCTGGGCCCTGATCCGGGCTGTGGCTCGGCC